GAGCAAGAGAGAGAGAGAGAGAGAGAGAGAGAGAGAGAGAGAGAGAGAGAGAGAGAGAGAGAGAGAGAGAGAGCGAGAGCGAGAGCGAAAGCGAGAGCGAGAGAGAGAGAGAGCGAGAGAGAGAGCGAGAGAGAGAGCGAGAGAGAGAGCGAGAGAGAGAGCGAGAGAGAGAGCGAGAGAGAGAGCGAGAGAGAGAGCGAGAGAGAGAGCGAGAGAGAGAGCGAGAGAGAGAGCGAGAGAGAGCGAGAGAGAGAGCGAGAGAGAGAGCGAGAGAGAGAGCGAGAGAGAGAGCGAGAGAGAGAGCGAGAGAGAGAGAGAGAGAGAGAGAGAGAGAGAGAGAGAGAGAGAGAGAGAGAGAGAGAGAGAGAGAGAGAGAGAGAGAGAGAGAGAGAGAGAGAGAGAGAGAACGGCCTTTAATAGCTAATCTGGATAATATGAATAGGCCCACAAATTTTGTGAATATGCTCCTTTGCAAAATAAAAAGGTTTGCTTAACTTCCTTCAACCATTAGGAAAATGTAGTCTTTAGGAATAAAAGTGCTTACTTGAGCATTTACTCCTTTCAAACATATGTCAGTAGTGTTGCATGGATGATGATGATGATGATGATGATGACTGCCATTACCAGTAAGAATACAGATAGCTGTTTGATACTCATTCTCTAATATAGTAAGGAACATTAACTCACACAGATCACATAAATAAATATTTATTTCATATATCATATACAGTATTATTGAAAATCCCCAATAGATCACCAAGCAGAATCACTTAATAAAAAAAAAAAAATACAATACCTTTAAACTATAAAGCAAAACACATAAGGCTTATATATAATAATAAATAAAATATTTCTTTGACAAAGTCCTTAAGAAAACAGTATCCAGAAGTTATCAAATAAAATCCCTGCTCATTTCAGACCACCCTGCATAACCGAAATAACAATGTTATCTGCTTATACAGGTCGAGTGATACAATCAGTGCTGTTAACTAGTAGATCTGGCAGGTCAGAAGATGACAATAACAGCTTATAACTCAAGTTTGAAGATCATTCTTATAACTAAGTTGGAAGTACATTCCCTTCACCGAAACTGAAATCATACAAAACAAAACATACACAAAAAAAAAAATCACAAATACTTAGGAAGACCACTGGATTCCAAGCTTGAAGCATAAACTTTCTTTATTGCCCTATCAGATATACATCATAAATGCCATTTAAAATACAGTTAGTTAAATCTCTGATAACTGTTGAACTGTATATAGCCACCATATGTTAAATATGTATGTGTGTATGTGTAGTGTGTGTGTGTGTGTGTGTGTGTGTGTGTGTGTGTGTGTGTGTGTGTGTGTGTGTGTGTGTGTGTGTGTGTGTGTGTGTGTGTGTGTGTGTGTGTGTGTGTGTGTGTGTGTGTGTGTGTGTGTGTGTGTGTGTGTCTTATAAATTGTGTATGACTTTTTTACAGAAAAAAAGACAATATCAAGTAAAATACAACCCCTCCAATGTAGTGCCTCTTCTTTTCTTTCAACATTTTTATTCTAATGGGCATTAAGGATGATAAACTATTTGATATCACTATTCATTAACAACAAAACCAACTTACTTCATTTCTTTTTCATAATCAGTTTACCACTCATAGTTTGAAAATTCATCTCTTGTTATCTTTTCAAAATCAAGATCTGTTCACTGTTCTAACCAATTCCCAAATATCACTGGTTTCTTTTGAATTTCAAAATTTCTGGATGCTAATTAAACATGTATATTTATTACATCCTTCACCAGACAATGGTTTTCAAAGTTGTGTAATTAACAGAATCAAATGTATGTCTCTACCAAAGTTGCTTCTGAATGCAAACAAAGCCCAGTTGGATAATACACTGAAACGTAAAGGCATAAAACACGATGATCATAAAGAGGAAAATGACAACTTGAGTAACTAGGCACAAAGTTACTTTTTGTTACTACAAGGAGGAGAAAAGGGGAGAAAAGGGAAAAAAACAGATAGAATTAAGAAAAGAAGAGAGGGGACTGGAAAGTTAAAAAGAATAAAAACCACCTACATTTCATAACAACCAGTAACAAAAAAAAAAGAATGAGTAAAATAAAAGATCATAAAAGTAAGTTTTACTTTAATCATATATATAATCAAATAACAAACTTACCAAAATAGTAATAGCACAATGTCGGTAATAAATTTAATGGAAAACATAAACAGATTCTGAATTATTCACATAAAACTGGAAACTGATTTATTCATGTACACATATTGCTACACTGATAGATAATATTCTTTTACACACATTTCTATATAGATAAATAATATTTTAGTATTTTTGTACACATATTTCGACACAGATAAATAATTTTCAGCATCAGAATAAATAATATCTAGTAACAAAGTGCATGATTTTTGTTATTCATGAAAATGTAAAGATCAAAATGGCACTTCTTGTATAAACAAGAGTTCTTAAACTTCACAAGCACTCCAACATAAGTATTA